TTATTTACACTTTATTTATTTACAATTAATTTACACTTTATTTACAATTTATTTATTTATTTATTTACATCCTATTTATAATTTTTTTTATTTATTTTTACTTTTTACCTTTTTATCTGCGTTTAATTATTAATTAATTTAATTATAATTATTTTATACTTAAATTTGTAGGAAGAAAAAACGGACTCCAGTCGACAAAAAAACTCTAGATGGGGTCCAATAGAACCTTATGTTCCACCGTCCACATCATCATCATCAACAACAACAAATAATGAAGAAGAAATTTACATTCCAACACCTATAAAAAAAGAAATAAAAATTGAACATCAGCCCAGCTTACAAAAATCGTCTTCATCATCATCATTATCATCTTCTTCCTCAAGTTCATCGTCATCATCCTCCTCTAAAAGTTCAGCAACAGTGACAGAATTACCAATTTTAAAATCATTGCCTTCTGTTGAAGATTTGTTCTCTGCAGAAAAAATTTCAACGTCGATTAAACCTACGGAAAAAGTTCCAGGGTCTGTTAAACCCACGGAAAAAATTTCAACGTCGATTAAACCTACGGAAAAAGTTCCAGGGTCTGTTAAACCCACGGAAAAAATTTCAACGTCGATTAAACCTACGAAAAAAGTTCCAGGGTCTGTTAAACCCATGGAAGTAAAGCCTGCGAAAAATTCAGAGTCCAATGATGAAATTCAGAGTCCCTATGTTAGAAAAGTGACGAAACCTCAAACGGTAACTGGAAAAAGGAAGAGGTCTGAAAAGGAGAATAAGGATGATAATGAGAATAAGGAGAACAAGGATGATAAGAGTAAACAAAAAAAACCTAAAAAAAATAGGTGATATGGAAGATTTTTATTTTTAACAATATAGAGTTTATTATTTAAAATATAAGTTAAAGAAAGGGCTGTCACAAGGAAAAAAAAATTTGATTTTGATTTTACTTTATTTTCATTATTTTTTATTTTCATTTTACTTTTATTTTCATTCGTTATTTTTATGTCAGTTCCTTACTTTTATAATTTAAACGTGAAACATGTTCGATTTTGATAGGAGAAACTTCTATTATATAAAATACAACTCAGTATTACGGTGGTTTTACAAATGTCTTCATTGTAAGAAATTGAAAGTAAAAATGTTGTATATTTTTTTAAAAAAATCTCTATTTCGTTATTTTTTATCACCAATATGAAATTGGTTGTATATTAAGAATATATATGTAAAAAAAAAAAAAAAAGAATATTATTTTGAATAAAGTAAATGCTTCTTCTTTGTTTCAATTTTCAATTTATTTTTAAAATACATACTCTTTTCCATTGAAATTATTTTTAAAAAATATACTTTGGAATGCAAATTCTATTATGTAGTGTGTGGAAAGAAGTTGTATAATTTTGTAGTTGATTTTACTATTTTTGACATAGTTAAAAATACTAGTTCAGTTGACTAAAAAAGTAGTTGAATTTCAAAAACAAAAAATTGATTTCCAATAAATTATTATAAATTTCTTATTAAAAAAGAAGAGAAAAATTATATTTATTAAAACAAAATTTATTTGTATAATTGACAAAATTTAACCTAAAATTAACTTATAATTTGATTAAATAAACAATTCAAACTTTATTTTTGAATATTTACCATAAATGCTAATGTGAATATTACTTACATAATAATAGAACCAAAATTGGTAGTAAATTAGTCCTTTTCTTTTACAGTGTTATTTAAAAAAAAACAATGATTATTAAAAGAAAAACAATATTCTAAATTCTTTAAAAATATTAAATTAAACATTAAAATATATTTTTAATCTAAAAATGAAGACGAAGTTTCAAAATTACTTTTTATCATACATAGTGCTGAAATTTAAAAATTGTATATGCATATAATAAGAATAATTTTAAAGAATTTATAATATAAATCTTTGCAAATTAAATGTATGGAAGATTTGAAGTTCGCGCCAATACAAATAATAGTTACGGAGAACCGCCGCATGGAGATGCTGCTTTCACTACTGTAGCGATGCATAGTGGGGGGCGCCGTGGTGGGGATCGCCACAGTGAATGAGTGCGGTGCGCCAGCCACCACACTCATTCTACTTTCAGATTGCATCGTTGTAGGTTTCTCTTCCTTACAGGTCTCTTCCCTCCAGGTCTTTCTCTTCACTAGGTCTTTGTTTCTTTCTCTTCTCCAGGTCTTTCTCTCCTCTAGGTCTTTGTTTCTTTCTCTTCTCCAGGTCTTTCTTTCCTCCAGGTCTTTCTCTCCTCTAGGTCTTTGTTTCTTTCTCTTCTCCAGGTCTTTCTTTCCTCCAGGTCTTTCTCTAAATTTTTTCTTTCTCTTCACCAGGTCTTTCTCTCTAAATTTTTTCTTTCTCTCCACCAGGTCTTTCACTCTAAATTTTTTCTTTCTTTCCTCCAGGTCTTTCTCTCTAAATTTTTTCTTTCTCTTCACCAGGTCTTTCTCTCTAAATTTTTTCTTTCTCTCCACCAGGTCTTTCTCTCTAAATTTTTTCTTTCTCTTCACCAGATCTTTCTCTCTAAATTTTTTCTTTCTCTCCACCAGGTCTTTCACTCAAAATTTTTTCTTTCCTCCAGATCTTTCTCTCTAAATTTTTTCTTTCTCTCCACCAGGTCTTTCACTCCAAATTTTTTCTTTCCTCCAGGTCTTTCTCTCTAAATTTTTTCTTTCTCTTCACCAGGTCTTTCTCTCTTTCTCGTATAGATCTTGTTTCTCTTTCACTCTTACAGATCTTTTTTCTGTTTATTTTAATTTTTTGTTTCTAAAATTAATTTTATTCTTTATTAAAAAAAAATTTCCATTTAATCCATTTAATCCTCCATCCAATTGCCAAAATCAGCTAGAGGAAGAAGAAAATGAAATTAATATTTTTGACGATAGTAGTCATGATGAGGATGATGATGATGGTGATGATGATGCGTCCATGATCATAATTTATGATGAGTATGACCATAACAATTATGAGGATGACGACGACGACAACGATGACGACAACGATGACGGATACGACAGTGTGGGGGAGACAATCATCATTAGTGATGATGATGACGACGACCACGACGTTTTAATTATAGACATCGATCTAGAAGAAGTTAGTTGATACTTTTTATTCTATTTTAAATTAACTTAAAAAAAATATTACTTTCATTTAAATTAACTTTAACCATATTTTTAATTTTTGAGATGTCGGAGTATATTGAAGATTATCCTGAAAATTATTAAATTTTATTTTAAATAAAAAGAAATATTTTTTAAATTAAAGCATTAATTTTATTTCCTTAAATTTTAGCGCGCATGGTGTAAGCGCATATTAAGGTGGGGATAATTTGCGTGCGCATTCAAAAGTGTAGTGGGGTTAGAGAAAGAGTGGGGATTGCAGCAATATAAGGCGAGTTTCAAAGCCACCAAGTCATTATTATTTCAGGTTCTTGAATTAGCAGTAAGTATAAACATTAATCTATTTTCTAAGTTCCTTTTTTTCAGCTTTATTTTCTAAGTTTCTTTTTCAGCTACATTTTTTCTAAGTTTCTTTTTCAGCTTTATTTTCTAAGTTCCTTTTTCAGCTTTATTTTCTAAGTTTCTTTTTCAGCTACATTTTTCTAAGTTTCTTTTTCAGCTACATTTTTTCTAAGTTTCTTTTTCAGCTACATTTTCTAAGTTTCTTTTTCAGCTATATTTTCAAAGTTTCTTTTTCTAAGTTAGTTTTAAAAACTAATAATTTTTTTATTACAGTTCTTTGTTTTCTCTTCTTTTGTTTAAGGTTTTCTTCCAGTTTGAAAAAATGGATTTAGAAAAAGTCAACTCCGTAGGGCGTTTTGAAGGTTACCTGCCGACGAAGCCGCTCGCGGAATTGATGAAAGATGGACTGTACTACGTCTCAAAGATGAAGAAGGTCCAGACCAAATATGGACCAAGGATCATTGTCGAAATTGATGCTGATTTCGTCACATACTTACCAACAAGATTCATCAAGCTCTTTGAGGATGAACCCACCACCTTGGACATGATGAAAGAAGCTGCGATATCGAAGAAACTTCAAATGAAGTATCTTGGAGGACCGTATAATGTTGTTGAATTTAAATTGTAAAAAGAAAATGTATATATATATATATTTAAAAAATTTTGATAAAATAAACACACAAAGTTTTACCTATAAATTGGTTTTAAATTTACTTTCCTCCTTCTCTTAGTATAAGTTTTTTTTCAGAATTAGAATAAGTTTTATTTTCAGAAATTATAAAAGAATTTAAATTAAATTTTAAAGGATAGGTTGTTTTTGAAATTAAGAAGCATTGTTTCAAATTAATAACATTTATTTTTGATAACTTAATAACTAAATTTTACAAAAAAGATTCACAATTTTCATAGAAAGATTTTAAATTAGAGTCAACTTCATCAATTCCATTAGAAATAGCACTTATATATTGGTTTGGTGGTTCCAAAAACCAATCGCGTAGAATTTTAACATTTTTTACAGCACAATTTTCACTACAAAAAGTATGATGCGTACACGTCGTTAACAAATCAGACTTGATTTTTTTCAACGATGGACAATTAAAATCTTCCAAGTTTTGTACGTTGAGTAAATATTTTTCTAGCCAATTCTTTTTTTCTAAACCTTTAACGTAAATTACACTTGCACTTCGAAGTATATCTTGTAGAATTGGTCGAAGTTCATCGTATGAGACGTCTCCAGCTGTCCAATGGATTCCATGGTAATTATGTGTTAGCCAAAGATTTTCACTTTTGTAGCGTCCTGGCAGTGAATTCCAAGGACAAGGAGGTTCAAAAAGGTAAACGAGAGGCTGTGCATCTGGTTGAAGAGGAAGTATCGCCAACTCTTTAAAGACAAACTCGTTGTTGGCTCTTTTAAAACCTTGAACGTCTACGATAAACTCCATTTTTGAAGCAGAAATGAATTTCTAGCCGAGAGCAGCTGCTTTTATAGTAATTACCCCCACCACCACTACATTATCCCCACTCCTTTACAATAGTTTCTTTACAACGCCGCTGATTGGCTTATATTGTATGACGCGGTCATGGATGATTAGGCAATAGGCGGTGGTCTCGGCTGGCATGTTGATTCCTGCTTCAAATTCTAACCTCACATCAACTGATGCTTGTTTTAAAAACTCGTTTTGCTTAGAACAATCAATAACAATTAGAGGAAATAGACTTTTAAAAATATCCTTTGTTAAAATAGGTTTTGAATCTTTACCATAATAGGATGATTGAAAATTAGCGTACATTTCATAAAGTAGAGAGTACTGATTTTGATCAAAGTTTAGATTTAAATTTCCATAAGGATAATATTGTGAGTTTAAAAAGAGTTTAACATTTATAATATTACAATGGTCAAAATGACAGGCATATTTTTTTCGTTTATCTTTCCTCGCTGTTTGAAATCCAACAATAACATAACGAGGTTTCTCTAATTGCGTTGATGTTTTAATTTGCCACAAAACTTTTGAACTTGTAGGAATCAAAGGATACTCATACATTTCCCACGACCTAAAACTTATTGAAATTAATGGATCCTTTTCAATATATTTTAACAATTTAACTTTGTTATTGTCAGAAGGTAAAACGTATGGAACCATCCATTCAAGTTTATTGATAGAAATTTTGAATTCCTCATCCCCTCCTTGTCCTGTTTGAATTACGGCATTCACGTCAGAACGTGCTCTTGTTAAAATAAGTTCATGTTTAGCGTTTATAATGATTTTTTTATAATCTTCAGCAAAACCAAAAATCATGTTGAGTGGTATTGTGACATCAAAATAACCATTTTCCAAAGTAAGTCTTGCATCAGCTGCAATTTTTGAATATCCAGCATTTTCAATAAAATTTAGCTGATTTGATGTTTGCGAGGTGTAATTTTTCATGATTGTAGTATGTCCAACGTATTTGCAGCGATCAATTTCAATACCATTTAGTTCATAGCGAATTTCATCAAACAAAAAACATACAGCATTATTACTTAAATGTACGTTTTGTGTAAGAGTAATTCCATCATTTTTAGTTAATCTACCAAAAATGTGTAATGAACTTTTACTAGGTAAAATGCACAAGTCTTGATGTTGTACTGCGATTCGAATTTCATCGCTATTGTTAAAAGATGAAGATGCGTATGGTTGATGAGCATGAATTTCATAATGAGCTATTGACTCATCAAAATTCACTGCTGCTGGAATATTGAGAAGTTCGTCCATTTTTATTGCAACAGCAACCAAAAAATATGTAAATTAATTGTCTTGTTGTCTGATTTTCTTTCCTTGAACTTTTAGACCTAGTTCTTGCAGAAAGAGGCGATTCTGATGTGTTAACACCTTGTGAGATAAATTTAGACTCATTGGATTCTTGCATGTTGTCTGACTTTTATAGTTTCCACCAACAACAGCTCTTTGATTATAAACGATTCCCATTACAAAGACTTTATATGCAATCGAATTGTTATAGTTTCTCCTCTAAAATTAATTAAATCACCGTCCTGATCAACAATTCGCAGCTGTATATTATGTATTGTCTTGGTGACAATCGGAAGGTAAATGACGTGTGCAGGCACTTCCACAATCTTATATCCTGGTGGAACGCTGGGGAAGAATTCATGGATAGTGTGAACTTTTTGGTTATTTATATACGCTCCAGATGTGATATTACACTCAATTCTAACTGAATTAACCTTTAAAATGGCTACAGGTAAATCAGAAGTATGTGCTCTATGAGATGATAGTTTCTGTGATGTAAATCCCAACAACTTACCAATAGAATCTTTAGGTTTAAAATCAATTGGTAAATTAGATTCAACAATACTGCGTAATGTATTATTATTAGGTTTTATACTAATAACAGTTCCAGTTTTTACAGAATTTTGTAAATATGATTCAATATCTTTAATTTCATAACTTCCAGTTGGAATATCAATTACTTGTTTTCCAACGTAAAACTTGTTATTTCCTTTATCAATATTGGGAATTGAATTAAAAGTCAATAGTTCAACAAGACCAAGTACATAACTTTTATTTGAATTTAGTTCTATTGGAGGGAAATATTCAGCTCCCAGAACTGAAGAATTTCCTGTTAACGTTAAAGTAAACGAATCACTCATGTTGCTGTCAGATTTTATACTGAAAGCTTACAGGTGTTACATAGTCTTATAAAGGTTAAAACAACTCTTAATATTTAGTTGATTACACAAAAATTTGAGACACAAGTGTCCACATACAAATGTATCATAATTTTGATATCTTTTATGATTATATTTTATTAAGCTACCATCACCCAAGTAAATGACAAGATCTGTTGGTGGAGCAAGGTTGCCAAAACTATCAAAATACATTGTTTCGTTTTTGAATTTTTTATATGCTACCCAATGTGTTCCAGCACCTTCTTTATTATCAAGATTAATTATTCCTGATTCATACTTGCAAGGACCACTTACAGGTAGTTCATTTCGCATAAAAATACCACGAAAATGAGGTATTTTGGCAGCTTTGGCATACTTCAACAGATCAAAGTCAGTTAATGGACGGTGAGGTAGCTTCAAAACAAGTTTTTTGTTTTCCTTCTTGTTGTTCTCTTTTTTCTTGATGCTCGTTTTTTAATTCCTTTTAATTGAATGTAGGGTTTCAAGTGGAGACCAAGTCCTTGTCGATAAGGTTTAAGGTGTAATCCCTTTCCAAGTGATATGGCTTCCATGGATCTATTGTGACGTTGAGCTTCTGCGAGTTGTTCACTAGCTGTTTTAGCCTTATTAACAGCCCTTGCTATTCCTGAAGCACCACCAGCAAGTGCTCCTAAAGCACTAAGTCCAGCAAAAATTGGAACTAGCGGTAAAATTCCACCTACTTTAGTAGGTACAGGAAGAATTCTAGGTGATAAAATTTTGGATTTACCACCAACATTTTTTATTGCTTTTCGTGCACCAACTATAGCTGCTCGAATTGATTCTTCAGCATTATTACCAGGAGCCATACTTTTTCGTGCAGCATCAACAATTTTTCTTAGCGCTATTTGCTTCTTCTTACACATTGTTTTACTCTTTTTCTTCTTTATAGATGATTTTCTTCTTCTTCTTATTCCCATGCCTAACTTTGATTTAGCTTTCATGGTTCCGGATATAACTAAAGCAGCTGCTCTTTCACTTACACCAGAATCTTTAGCTGTAACACGTTCCCAAGCTCTCTTAGCTAATACTTTATCTGCTTCGTTTCTAGCTTGAATATTTTCACGATTTTGCGAATAAGCAATGTCGTGTTGTTTACATGCAGCGTCCAGTGGATTAATTCCTTGGTCACCTCGTGACAAACGCTTAGCCAACTTTGTACCAGGCCCACAGAATTGGTATCCTGGTAAATGTAACTCAAACGGTAAACTATTGATGATACGATTAATTAAACCTTTTCCTTGATAGCGTTCTTTTTTCACCTCCTGATGCAGAATCATACCTGTCTATTTATAGATTTTCGAGCAGTTACTGTCAAGATGCAGTTCACGAAACAACCTGTCGCACTGCCAATCTCTAGTATAGATGTTGAAACTAATGAAAAAAAGATTAAACGTCACGGTAGTCTGTTTTCAGACAGCATTCGTGCAGTTTTCTGTGGCCCCTCAAATTGTGGTAAAACAAATGCTCTTCTTTCCCTAATAATACATCCAAATGGTCCAAGTTTTGAAAATATTTACCTCTACTCTAAATCTCTACAGCAACCGAAATATAAATTTTTAGAAAATGTAATCAGTCAGGTAGATGGTGTTGAGTATTTTCCATTTAGTGAACATGAAGAAGTAGTATCTCCAAAAGATGCTAAAGCAAATTCAATATTCGTTTTTGATGACATTGCTTGTGAAAAGCAAGATAATGTTAGAGCTTTCTTTTGTATGGGCAGACATGTAAACGTTGACAGTTTCTATTTATGTCAAACGTATGCTCGTATTCCTAAACATCTAGTTCGAGATAATGTTAATTTATTGGTTCTATTTAGACAAGATGAAAAGAATCTGAAACATGTATACGAAGATCATGTTAATACAGATATGAGTTATACTCAATTTCGCGATTTATGTTCAGAATGTTGGAAATTGGACAAATATGGATTTGTTGTTATTGATAAGGACCGTAATTTTAATGAAGGAAGATATAGAAAAGGATTTGATTGCTTCATTTTACTATAAATACAAGAAGCTCATTGAATTTTTCATTAGTATAGTTTATCTTGTCTCGAAGAAAACATGTATCGAAAAGAGCAAGAAACGCTTCGTCAAATAGCAAAAGCAAGTGATGCTATTAGGCGGAAACATCGTTTACTCAAAATGGGTAAAGAGGCTGCAGAAACAGTATTGAAAGAAACTTTTCAACCAATAGTAACACCTCTGGAAAAGTTGGTGAACATAACTGACATACCTTTCAAAAATATTAAGAAAGAAAAAGTTAAAAAGGAGGAAAATGATTTTTCTTTCTCAACTGCTGTTGATGAGGAAGAGGAATTTGATAAAACACTACTCAATGACAGTCTATTTGATAAGAGCAACAAGTTTGAAGAAGAAGGAGAAGAACTTAATTATGAAAATTTGACAAATAAATTTATTCAATTATTGAATAAAAACAGAAAAAGTTTTTTAGACATGGTTTATGGAGTACGTAAGCTTCCTAATGGTTCTTTTATTATTGGTGATACACCAGTTGATTTAGAAGGTTCACATATTCAACTTGCTGGAAAGAAAAAATATTTAAAAACTGCTGGGTTGCTTGAACTTTTATTTCGACAAGAACCTAATCATGCATTAATAAGTTCAGATGATTTGGAAAATTATAAAGAAATTCTTGTAGCTACAAATGCACACCGAAAAAATTATAGTTCCAGTGGACTTGTCAACGTAACCAGGAGTTCTAAATATACTGTTGTCATTTTAAAACTTTTTAAGGGTACGCCAAAAAAAGGTAGTGGTGTTTTAAAGAAGAAGAGGCTTGGAAAGAAATTACCTCAATTTATGATTTCAAAGAAACAATTTGAACCAGACTACATCTAATGGGATGATCCCAATGAACTAGTTGACCGTTTACGTCTGCTAGTAGCATCACAGCAAGCTGGTAATCCAAGCCATAATAATGAAATTATGTCAATCATCGAAGAACTACGTGAAGCTCGCATTATATATTAGGAGAGTACAAGCAAATAGAGCTTAGTATTAAAATGAGCATTGATGTGTTTGGACATCCCTTGTCACGGCCTCTTGCAAGTCGTGGACTTCCTGGACCTTCTGGAATTGGTTTTAAAATTACTCCAAGTGAACAATACGACATTGATAACAAAAGACTTTGCAACGTTCAAGACGCTGAAGAGCAACGAGACGCTGTAAATTTAAGACTTGCACAGAAAATTATTAAAAACGAGATAAAAACAGTTTTTCAAATTACATCTTCTTTAAGATCAGCTATTGATGATTTGAATCTTTATATCCGAATTATCGAGGATAGAGTAAACGAAAAACTTAAAGAAATTGAATCACAGCAAAATTATATCATCAAAGAGGCTAAATTTATTCAACAGTGATGGCTGATCAAAAATTAACAGTTGTAACTGAACTGCATAAACAAGCTAGAAGAAATTATCATCGTCGAAAAGTTCAAATGCGTGGCATCGATGAAACCTGGCAAGCAGATTTGGTTGAAATGATACCTTATTCTTATTCTAATAAAGGTTTCAAATACATGCTCACAGTTATAGACATATTTTCCAAATATGCCTGGGCTGTAGCTGTAAAGAGTAAGAATGGAAAGGATATTTCTTTGGCCATGAAAACTATTCTCAAACAAGGTCGAATTCCAAAAAATTTGCATACTGATAGAGGCAAAGAATTTTACAATTCTGAATTTAAGAGTTTAATGCAAGAATTTAACATTAATCTCTATTCTACCTATAGTAATTTGAAAGCCTCAATTGTTGAAAGATTTAACCGCACTCTAAAAAATATGATGTGGCCTGAATTCAGCTTGCAAGGCAATTATAAATGGATTAATCTTTTACCAACTCTCATGTCAAAGTACAATAATAAAAAGCATCGTACTATTGGTATGAAACCCAAAGATGTCACCGTAGAAGATACAAGAGAACTGCTGAGGCGTATTCGTAAACTACGTAGAATTCCGCTGAAAAGATCAAAATTCAAAGTTGGAGACAGAGTTCGAGTTAGCAAATTTAAAAATATCTTTGAAAAAGGATATACTCCCAACTGGACAACGGAAATATTCACTGTGGAAAAAGTTAAATCAACAAAACCAGTTACATACAAGCTGAAAGATTACCAAAATCAACCCATCGAAGGTGGTTTCTATAAAGAAGAATTGCTGAAAGTCCAATATCCAGATGTTTACCTCGTAGAAAAAATTCTCAAGACTCGTGGTAATGATGTATACGTGAAATGGCTTGGATTCGATAGCTCACATAATAGTTGGATAAAAAAATCTGATATGTAGTATAGTTAAAGTAACGTTAAAGTATAGTTAAAGTAATGTTAAAGTAAAGTTAAAATAAGTTAAAGTATAGTTAAAGTAACGTTAAAATAAGTTAAAGTATAGTTAAAGTAACGTTAAAATAAGTTAGAATAAGTTAAAATAAGTTAAAATATAGTTGAAATAAGTTAAAATATAGTTAAAATAAGTTTAAATGTAGTTAAAAAATTATAGCAAGTTAATGTAACTAGATTAAGGTTTTTTAAATAAAGTAGACATATAATAAAATAAACATCTTTTAATCAAACAACCATTTCCTCCTCCTCTTCTCTCTTTTTTTTACATTAGTTTATCCTCATCATCATCGATTTCAAGAATTTTACAATGACCCCATGCGAGGGTGTCGGTGCTTTTTTCTATCAAGTATCTCTTGTCGTCATAAGGACTTAGTGCAATTTTCGTTTGTTTCAAAGTTTGTACTTTGTGAAGATTCGACCTAATTGAATATTGCGTTCTAGATTGCATTTTAATATTTCGTAAACAATAAACATAATCATCAAAGTCTATATTTTTCTTAACAACTCCTGCTTTGACACCTTTAGCCTTTTTTATAATATCTTTCCCTTCTACACGGACGCTGTACATTTTGCTCCGCAAGTCAACAAATTCTGTTACAATTTTTCCGCAGCATTCATCCTTCATGAGACCTAATATCTTTTTGTTGGCTTGCGGAATATTGTACACGTTATTAACCGGATAATCAGAAGTGTCGAATTTCATAATGTCTTGCTTCATATCAGCGTAAATGTCTGAGCACTTGATTTCATAAATCAGGCTATCGGTGTCGGTGTACAATAATTTCAATTTATTTTCATCATACTTGTTTAACATGTAATCGTAGTGGAAATCATAAATAAGTGTTTTTGACACATCCAAAACAGTCAAGCCAACATACACCGGCTTGTTCATTAGTACCTCCATTTTCCTAAGTTCCACAGCAACCAAATTCTCATTAAAGATGGCTCTGCTGTGGAAGTTAGGTTTAGAGATTAAGGCTTCAGCTCCATACCTACCCTCCCACTTTGTCACAAGTTTAATTTCAACATGTTTTCGCACGTTCTCCATTGTTTTGCCAAATACCGCGTTGTTCATCAATTTACACAAGTTTTTCTCAAATTCATTACTAGCGTTTGTTCTTCGCGTGGTATTAAAGTCAATGTAACTTTTCAACCAAGTGGATTGTTCGAATTTTAAGACGCGATGAATTTTAACTAACACGAGACCGTTGGCAATAGCTTGTTTTAAGGCACGATAATGGAGAACGTGCTTTCGTTTCGGTAGGAGGGTAGTTAGGAGCTTCTCCTCTTTTTACCCTGGTGGCTTCGAGAGTTCCGGACAAAATGGAAAATCGCTGTGTTTATCATGAAGGTGATCTGGATAATCCAAATCAACTTCCAAAATGTAACCCGTAGGCGCATCGTCTGCAACATTTAAATCAAAACTATTATCAACATTCTCTACCCTCTTGAAGCCACCATAGGGAAGCGGTTGAACCATTGCCCAACCGTATAGATTATTTGCGTCAAAGTATACGATGTAAGACGTGTCCTCATTTTCATCAAATTGTTCCATGTAATGATTGTTAGCTTTTGCATATCGATTTGTACATTGACTTACACCACCTCTTATTCCTCGTTCAATAAACATTATCATGTCAATGTCTGTCAAGAGTTCAAGTCTTACTTCCGTATACTTTAACATTGCGTCCCAAGTCAAATCCGGTGTAGTATAATAGTGTGCTGGATCTAGACCGTACGAGATTAAACACTGGTTTCTGAAATTTTCGAAAATGTCCGCGAGTAACAGTATGTCGGTTTGCATGTACAAGTATACATAATCACCAAGATTTTGACAATTAAATTCACTCCACACTTTCTGCGCATGTGCATAGTCTTCATCGGAAACATTTGAATCGTTTAATGTGCTGTAGAATTCATCTTTTGGCGGTAACTCTGTTTCGTCGAGTTTTTCCCTTGAATCAATGTATTCATAAGGAAAAACTCCTTTTCGCGTCAACAATTGAATTTTATCGTCGCTGTAGTTTGAAAAAACGGAATTTACAATTTTGTATTCTTCGAGATAGGATGCTAACTTATCCAGAGATGATGCCATAAACTTGAAAGAATTAATAAAACGAAATTTTAGAAAACCACCTTTTACATTTTTAGTAAAACTAATGTACTTTTCTTTGTTAATAGGAAGTAGATTAACAGTACCATCAAATTCTGTAGCAATAGCTTCAATAATGAAATGTGCATCATAGCCACTTAGGTTATGAAAGACAACAGGTATGATCTGCGATTCATGGTAATTAATATTGCAATCTTGATGAGCGGGTCCGCGGTACTTCCCTGTTAGATGGCAATGATCTCGTACTTTCACATCCCCATACGCAATTTTCTTTTTACAAATATGACAAGTCATATCATTTCGAAAAGCTGCCAACTGCTGTGGACTTAATGTTTCCATGGGAACTGGGTTCTTGAATATGAAATCTAGATTATCAGCCAAGTTCTTTAATTCTAAAGAAAACCATTTAGCTGGATTTTCCTCATCTCTAGGTGATGCTTTGTACACAGACAAAGAGTCATCGAAACTACATTTTAAGAAATAACCAATACTGAGAGTTTCATGGCTTTGAAACACCTCAGTATTTTTTGGTTCTTGGGGTGCTGCCGAGGGAATTAACAGACTTTCACAATCGGCATAAATGATAAAGGGAACACGTTCCTTATTTTGAAAATTTTTAAACTCGACTGTATTTTGACCTTTTTGGGGTAATTTAATCTTTGTGTCGTTCATTTTTCGACAATGCTCTTCATGTTCGGTAAGCTTACATTCATCTGCAAAATAATGTAAGCAACGATCGCAAATGAATTTTTTGTTCTTCTTCTTTGATAAGTCTGAACTGACAAGCCTCGACAAGTCCTTTATCCAGACATAATGGTAGTTAAACGATATGAGAGGTATATCAGTTTCAACATCATCGTCTTCACTTAGATTTTCATCTATGTAGTGATCTTCAATTCGAAGAAGATTGACGTGATTCATCTTCTTTTGAGACGAAAGATGAAGTGGTGAAACTGTAAATTTCTCATCTCTTTTAACAAGACCATACAAGTTGACGGAAATGTTGTTTAGGGTTTCAAATTTAGAAATGTCTTTGAGAGAAACAGGAAATTCGATACCACTAAAATTGAGTGTATCTTCATAGGGTCTATATTTTGAAACTCGTTCCGCGTTTTTGTCTGTTGGGTACAGTGCTGACAATATTGCCCATTTAAAACATTGGTTATCAGCATTTTGGACATTAATGCAGGCATGCTTTCGATTGATAGAAGTTGGCAAATTGATATAAGAACTTGCGCGCATGGGATTGTACTTGTTAATGTTAACCTCCAACCTTTCAATAGAATGAAGTCTCCAATTAGAATCTTTTTCTTGGAATTCCTCCATTCTTTTTAAGGTTACTTGTTTAACATAAACATTGTACCACTCTTCTAATGGGGTTGTAACTAAAATGTCACCGGTTTTCGCGATGAATGTCTTTAAATCTGATATTTCTTGGGTTTTACCATCAATGGAATCTTTAACAAATTTCGCGAACAATACAGTGTAAACTTTTAGCGGACCAAACCTGTTTAAAGCTTTTTCAATGTTAACTTTAAATAAACTAAAGGCATCATCAAGGAATTCATTAATATCCTTGTAATCTAAATTCATTACAGCACTATTTTGTAAACGACCCTCAAACGCTTCTTCAAAATCCACCCATTTCATTCCTTCATTCACTACTTCAACACCCGCACCACGTTTCATTAGAGCCTCAAAATGGCAGCGCAAGTATTCCATTTTTTGTCTTAAATTTAAGCACCTAGATCTTTGAGATGAAGAAAAATCAGACTTACGTAAAAAGTTTCGAAAAATGTTTATATACCGTTGACACTTGTTCTGCCATTGGAATGCTGTAACCATTTTATCCTCAGCAGTCATAGCCATCGTTGAAATGAGCTGACGTTCCGCTGTTGTAATGAATTTGTCAGATTCTTGACACATTTCATTGTACTCTTCCATGTCAATACGTTGACGAGACTTCTTTCGCGATTTGCACTTTGGCATCTTGATAGCTAAATCTGAAAGAAACTTTAAAAAATACGTCTAAAACTAAGAAAAACCTGAAAAAACTCAAACTAAAAAAAAATCCTGAAAAACTCAAACTAAAAAAAAAATCCTGAAAATAAACCACTAAGAAAAAAATCCTGAAATAGAAAATAAACCCCCACCACCACCTTAAAAACTAATACAAAATAGAACAAAAAAAACCCTAAAATAGAAAAAAAACACCACCAACTTAAAACTAATGCAAACTAGAACACAAAAATTAAAAAAAAACCTATAATAAAAAATCAATAACTCCTAAATTCAAAACAAAAAAAAACTCTGAAAATTAACTCTGAAAATTAACTCTGGAAAGAAACTCTGAAACCCTGAAAACATGGAAGTAGACTGCTGCACCATTCAAGATGCAACTGATGTTTGTGGCCCGCGCTCCGTAACTTATACCCCAGTCCCCACTATACTCACCTCCCCACTACTCCACAGGCGCGCGCAACTCTCCTACCACAATGTAGTAAACGCTGACTACCGGGATAACTTGAAGTTAACATAACCCAAGTGGGTCATCGGTCGGTAATGCAGAACCCTGACATACCGACCCGACCAAAAATTGTGGAAGAAATCTGCATTACCGACTGATGGTAACACTTACCATCGGTCGGTAACTTACCATCAGTCGGTAATTTACCGGCATTTTTATAGGAGCATTATCATCAAGGTCGGTAAAGTAGAACACCAACCAACTTTCACTTAGTGGCGCGAAATTTAAAATTACCCCTTCTAACCCACTTGAAAGTTTAAAAATAAAAAATTTAAATTTCCCGCCAAGGGGGTCAGAATTCACATGTGGCGCCATCTCTCGGTGGCAGTCTGAACATAGATGTCGGTAAAACAGAACATCCCTTCTAACCCACTTGAAAATTCAAAAATAAAAATTTTAATACCTCTCTAAGGGGGTTTAAACTGAACAAAAAATAAAGTGGCGCCATCTAGCGGTGGCAGCCGGTACTAAAAACTCGGTCGGTAAAACAGAACATCCCTTCTAACCCATCTGAAAGTGAGCTATTAGAAAATCTACCTTACCGACGGTCGGTAACTGGGCCAGAACCCGCCTAGCTCTACTACTAATAAAGTCTTTAACGTCCGAGTGGTTTTAATTCTTTTATCTTTTTATTACTTTATTTAAGATTAGATGATTGCAAGATGTGCTTTTGTGCACCATCAAAACAAGAAACCTTTCCCTATTGAAAAATACGATATAGTATTCAATGAAGTATACGATGTTATATGGGATATTGTATTCAACATCGTAAATGACAACAAAAGTAATATCGTATACGTTGTAAAAAATGAAATAGTAATTTGGTATAGCATGCTACGTCGTTTACGACATATTATATGAAATCATTTACGACATCGATTACGATTTAAAAATTAATTTGTTTCCTATTAATATTCAAATTATTGTTATTACGTGTAAATTTTTTTTAAATATTAGTGTAAATAATTATAATAACATTTTCATTATTTAATTTAAGTTGTTTTATATAGTGAAAAAGAATAAATCATAGAACTTAATAAACGTCGAATAAAAATTTATCATTATTTATCAAAAATTTGAATCTTAAGATATATAAATTTGTCTTTTACATAATAAACTTATTTAAGATAATTTTTGTTAACGTAATAGAAAACGTAGGTATTATATTTGTTAACATAAAACTAATTAGGCTACTCGACTTATTTTTTAAGATTTAAAATATTTTCTAAAGATGAAAATATAATGCAGTTTAATGTTTATTAAATTTTATTAAATATTTTATAACAAAAAAGTTAATTTACATGTTTCTAATAATACACTTACGTTAATTCTTATTTCTAATAAAAAGTATAGTTTTACATTACACTTATAAAATATTAGGTACACAATTATAAGTAGTGTAACAACGTAACTCACACAGAAATTAAACAAATTATCTTGTTATTATATATCCGTTATATATAAACAGTTTATAAATTTATTTAGGTCGAAATAAGTGGATACTCTTGGAATTTTTTAGGTGTTTCATGCCATGTTATGGAGTACACAATGATCAAAAGATCTGGCCCCGATTTGGGCCATGGTTAAATTTCTACACGGGAATATTTAAATGACAAATTTGTTATGTTTAATAAATTATCGCAAATCTCAAATTGCAATTAGAATTTTCAGCCAGTTTCAATTAGAAAGCAAAATTATACAATTTTGCGATCAATGAGAGGTGGTTTGAAAAAGGTGTCATACGCAATATTTTTAATGCAGATGATACACGATTATTTAAAAGTTCCATCTACTCCCTTTAGCCAATTTCTTTAATGGTAAACAAATTACAAGTAAATATTTGTAAAAAAGAGTTAATATTAACAGGAATACGGTTTGGTAAGAACAAACAAAACATTAATATTTTTTGGTCTATTTATTGATAGAATGAATACTCCAGCAACGAAAAGTGTACAATGATCAATAAAAGATGAACCAATTAATATGCGGTTGAAGTTGCTTATCAGAATAGTTAAAGGCATAAGGACAACTGAGTCGGGTACATAAGACAAATGCTGAAATATTTGGCTACAGTCGTCAATGTTTCCCGCAACCGCTTTTTCAACGCATAATTAAGCTTCATTCGACACAGAAATTAACTTATTTTTGAAAGAAGGGGTACCAAATTTTCATGTGGATGTAACAGCCCGTGTGGAAAATGAAAATTGGTCCTAGCCAGGTCCTACCTATTTTGCCCTGTTAATAGCTTGGTCCTAGGTTGGCAGTGTAGGTTGGACCAACAATGGCTGTTGATGCGATTCTAGCCTGGTCCTAACTTGGAAGCCTAGTTAGAACCAGTTTATTTATATATTTTATTATAATTTTAATTAGTTTATAATATTTGCTAAAGAAATAACCTAAATTATTAATAATAAGTATTAGTTTTAATTAATTATTATTTTTTTTAAATTAAATGATGACCAAAAGCGAATTCATAAATAATGTTAGTATATGTAGAGATTAATATATATTCCTCTAATATATACATTAAAAATTATAAAAAAATTAGAAATTTGTTAATTAAATTATTTTACAGTATATATAATCATTAAATTGCATACTTATACGAATACAATGCAGAAAAATCGGAATAAACGCAAACCTAAGAAGTAAATAAAATCTAACGCACGCGGGAATCGAACCTACGACCTACGGACTACGAGACTAACGCCCTAACCACTATGCTAATGAAACTAGTTGAGATCAAAATTTTTATTGTCAGTGACTTGTGGACTTGCTTTTGATGATTCAATATAGTAATTATTGACACTAATACACGATAATAAATAAAAAAAATAGTTTAACAACAACTATAATAATAAAATAATATCCAAATATAAAAATTCAAAAATTAATATTTTTATATTATATCAAGAAAAAAAATATCTATACATTTTCGTTAAAAACAGGTTTTTCATTGTTCTCAATCATTTTTAACATTAATTTCTTGGTCTAAAAAAAATATTCGTCTTTTGGACTTGGAAATTTTTCCTAATTAATTAAGCGGGTAATCCACTTTTTAAAAAAATGTCAAAAAAATTTATGTTAAAAACACGTTTTTCATTATTCTAAATCATTTTAAGCATTAACTTTTTGTTGCAAAAAATTTTTTAGACTTGGACTTAGAAATTTTTGCTAATGAAACTAGGAAGCCCAGGTAGGTCCTGGGTTGGAGCTGGGTGGGTCAGCCCACATTCGAATTGCAATATCTCTTAGTGATTAACACCAACTTAAACGAAACTTAAAATCAGCGAACGAAATTAGAAATATATTTTACTAATGATAATTATATTGCAGTCTGTATCTGTTTAAATAAATAAATAAATTTTGCTGTTTTATTAACTTTTGTAACAAATTACTTAAAAATTTGCAGTTTTTTATCTAACTTTGCGATTATTACACTTGAGTAGTGAAATATGAAGATAATCTATAATTTTAACAATTCAGCATTTGTTTAAACAAAAAATTGTTGTTATTTATTAATTCTTAAGACAATAAAGCGTCTAGACACTTGTAGTCTTTTAAAATTTTGCAATTAACTAATCTGAGTATTTACTTATTGCAAAATTAGAAAAAACTGCTAGTTTCTAGGTTGATTGTGTAAAAAGTTAGTAAATAACAATTATTTGTTTAAACAATTGCTGAATTAATAAATTAATAAATTAACTTTATTTTATAGTATTTGTATAATTTTCTGATTTATGTCAAACAATAAATTGTTTAAACAAATATGATTATCAATTAATTTTATAAATATTAATTGAGAATATTTATCAATTTTTGCATGTTTTTCATGTATCAATTTTGACACTTTATTTTCCTAAAAATTTTTCTAAGTCATAACTGGATCTCCTAGCTAGTACCAAGTTAGGACCAGCCCAGGATATATAAAAAGGGGTTGCCAAGTTAGGTCCAAGCTAGGGCCAATAATCATTTTAGACATAGCATGGTGATTTCTACACGGGAGACCAATTGTAACATGAATTCGATTCGAGAAAAAAAGTATTTTATACGAAAAAGCATTTACTTTTAACCTTTATCCTACTGGTTGATTTAGCTGAAAGTGTATATAATTTAATCTCATAATATCCACAAGCTTATATTTGAAAAAATTGAAAATACATTCCTTTTTTGCTATTTGAGTTTTATGAACCTAATTCAATTTTTCTTCAATAATAGTGCAGATTCGGAACTGCACATAAGTACTCTTCCTTATTGACAATAATATGGACACATACTTTTACAATCTCATTTGTTTTTAAAGCTAACTCTTCTTCATTTATTGTCTGGACTTTTTGCAACATGCCACATTTGTTTTCAAAGAAATTAACAGTGTCTATTTGTTCAACAATTGCGTATTCTTTTTTTGTTTTCAAGTCTGCAATGAAGTACTTTAGTTTTACAAATCTACCATTTCTTAATA